CTGAGAGAGAGAAACTGGCCCAAAGTCCCCCAACTGGCTTTCATGCCTAAGGGAGGCCTAGAATTCATAGTCTCCTGGTTTCTAGGCCAGCACCTTCACTGCCACACCAAACTGGCCCTCTTACAGCCTACAGCAGTGATTCCCAACCTGGGCAATTCTCAAATGTGTGGACTTCAAATCCCAGAAGTCTTCTTGGGAAACCCTGGCTTCGAGGCAACTGCAGCAAACTAAAGCAGGACAATGCACAGCTCTCCAGGTGTTGCTGAACTGTCGTTCCCCACACCCCTCACCACTGGGCATGCTGGCTTGACTGATGGGTGCTTGTGTTCAGCATCCTCTGGAGAGTTACATATTGCCCACCTTTGCAGATTCACCACTTAACCATCCCCAAGAGGAGGACATAAGAGATACAGAATTGCAGAAAATTCACATGCACTGATTTGACTGTCCCCAAGTAGCTATTCTCCCAATATGTTAGAATGGTCATTCAAAATTCCAAACCAGCACAGCAGCTGGTACAATTATGGCCACCACACTGACTTTTTTGACCCCCTTATGGATGCTACAGAAGCAGCAGTTGGCCAGTGGCTGGCTAGGAATTCTGGGAACTGGAGGGCACCAGGCAAAGGAGGACATCTGTGTTAATGTAATGTACTTTTAGAAATAATGATCATGATTTAAGTAGGCATGTAATAAACATCACTATAGTGCAGAAGACTGTGACCAGCTCAGTTTGAATTTGTTCAGGCTGTTCTCTAGGGCTAAGAATTTTTAATTGATTTTTGTCCATTTTTTACTCTGTCTCGGTTTATTATTAGTTATTCAGCATCCTTACAACTGGAGTAGCATATAAGCTGGAGTAAATAAATAGAAGCAGAAGGATCAGGTTGGGGACTGATCCTCTTAGAAAATCTATCTGTGTGGCTGCTAAGAGTCAACACCAGCTTGATGGCATACAATTACAGTGACCATCTCTCCTTTATTATAAAGGACAGCCCTTTATTTCAGAAAGCTCTCCTTTAGATGTATTTTATTTTTCAAAAAGCCACTGTTGTCCTTTACTTTGGTCCTTTAACTTTTACCCTACAAATGTACCACTTAATGCACAGTCTTTCACATTCAGGTGAAAAAGATGGAAATTGAATTATCTGTTTAAACTAAATTTACATATACTGTTTGATTTGAGATATTTTTATTAGAATACGTGTTTTTTGTAAAGTTTTCCTTGGTTTGGCTCCTGAATTCTCCTTGGTAAAGCAAAATTATAAACATAAACCATTTTAAAAAATGATCGTTATGAACCTCTTTCAGATTTACCCCTTTTTCAGGTCTGTCCTTTATGTTTTTCAAGAAAAGATGGTCACTGTACACATAATCAATCAATCAAATAATAAACTGTTGAGGGCCAACTTTAAAGCCCCTTCTCTCCGATGGCTGGTGTGCGTCTTCCGGGCTGTGTGGCCGTGTTCTGGAAGTTTTGTTTCCTAACGTTTCGCCAGCATC